TAAAGGAGGTGAGGAGGCAATTTAGCCATTGTGGATAAAGTGTGCTGACACTTTCATGGATATCGTCACCATTGTCACGTTGCTGGTTTTAAGTCATTTGAAGCACCTATTTTTTGAATATTTATGGACTTTTTGAGATTCTATGTTTGTGTTTTCTATGTGATTTGTTGTGTGGTCACATTGGCACCAATCACTGTTGTGATATCCCGTTTATGGGGGTTTATGTTGTAGCATTTTAAGTTGCTATAATATTTATAAGAGTGATTTCACAATTGTGTAGTCAGATTTCACTGATTATAGGTCATTTATGTGACCACAGATCACATTGGGTTGGGCACTTCATGCACGTTTATTGATATATTATTTATTTATTGGGGCACAGTGAATTATATTTATTTTTAGCACTATTGATATATATATTTTTTTTTTGTTAGCGCTGCACTATTTTTGAGAATCATTTGTTTATTATTTTAAAAAAAAGATTAATATCCATTCTATTATTTAGGCCAAAAGGGACCCTGGTATTAAGCGTATGAATCCAGAATACTTCACGCCAGGGGCGGACTGACCATTCGAGCACTCGGGCACTGCCCGAGGGCCCGGGCTCAGTAGGGGGCCCCATGAAATGCCCCTGGTACCTTTCATTGGCTTTTTCATAGGCTTTTTTGGGTGTGGGCAAGGACACAGGGGGCCCATGATCCCTTATTGCCCGGGGGGCCCCATGAGTTGTCAGTCCACCCCTGCTTCACGCTTAAGTAAGGTGCAGTGTACATCCCTCCCCTTATAGGTTTCCTGACCTCCTTAGCCCTTTGAGGACCGTAAGATTTTGGAACACCAAAAGAATCAATTTTTTGTTTTTAAAGTTTGTACACTTCAGTTGCTGTAACTAAGCCCTTTCATGAAATAATTGGCAAAAAGCTAGATCCATTTGTTGATAAGAACTAATATTTTGACTCAAACCAAAAAAAAAAAAAAAGTATTTTAAGTTCTTAATCAGATGATACAGGCAATTAAAAACATGGGACAAATACGTCCCTTGGTCCTCAAGCAGCTGAACGATACAAGCACTTATCTTGTACTTGATAATATCCCACCCTCCTTTTTAAAGAAAAAGATGCGACATCTACTGGACACAGGTAAAGAAATGGGAGTTATAGATCAAAAAATGATGGACTTTTTGATGGCTGATAATCCGGTTATTCCAATCTTCCATCATCTCTCAAAAATACACAAAAGACTTTACCCCTGTCCAGGGACGTCCCATAGTGGCAGGTATAGGATCTTTATTGGAAAGGCTCAGTGAATGGGTTGATGAACATCTTCAACCCCTAGTTACCCTGGAACCAGGATATTTGAGGGATACTGGTCATCTTTTAGCCCATACACATGAGATCAAGTGGATGGAATAGAACAATTGACATTAACATTAAAACATCAAAACATTAACAATCACATATAAAGCCATTTTATAACTCTGCCCCAAATTACATCACCGAACTTGTCTCCAAATATCACCCAAACCGTACTCTCTGCTCCTCGCACGACCTCCTGCTCTCTAGCTCCCTTGTCTCCTCCTCCCATGCTCGTCTCCAGGACTTCTCCAGAGCTTCCCCCATCCTCTGTAACTCTCTACCCCAATTTATATGACTATCGCCTACTCTGAAAACCTATCTCTTCAGGGAAGCCTATCCTGCCCTCAGCTAATAATGGAATCTTCTACTCTTCCAACCAGTCCATCCCACACAGTTACTACCTTTTGTACCACTAGCCCCTCCCTCTTAGATTGTAAGCTCCCAGGATCAGGCCCTCCTATCCCTCTTGTATTGAGCTGTATTGTTGCTGTATTGTCTCCCATTATATTGTAAAGCGCTGAGCAAACTGTTGACGCCATATAAATCCCGTATTAATAATAATTGACTCACTATAGATGTTAAAGCTTTGTATTCAAGCATACACACACCATTTAGCTCTATTAACCATTGAACATCACTTGACATGCTATAGTACATATAATATGCGATTAAGGGAGTTTTTTTGTGTATGGCAGTTTTTTTTTTTTGTTCTATACTAGTAATGGCGATGAGCAGCGAATTACAGGGGGACTGTCAGGAATGGACTTGCCAGTGGTGGTGGGACTCACCTGCATTGTGGGCTACAATACCAGGGCTGGCCAGCGGGTGCTCTCAGCAACCAGAGGCTTACTCCTGCAATGAGCCATCACCTGAGGCTGATTACAGCAGGTGTATTTAAGGAATGGCCAGGCCTGTGATCAGGGCCTTGGTGTATGTTTCCCATGAGCCCCTGTACCTGCATCCTGTCTGCTTCCTGCCTGATCCTGATTCTGCTTTAATCCTGACTCTGCATGAACTCTGCCTATCCTGACCTCAGCTATTCCTGACTACGCTTCCGCCTGCTCCTTGTACCTTGCCTGTCGTTTGCTACCGACGTTTGCTACGAACCCGGCCTGTCCGACTACGCTTAGTATTGTTCTTATTGTTATCTGTTGGAGGTTTAATTGCACTGTGTTTATGCTTAGTCTTGCACTGCGTTTATGTATTGTTTAGTCTTTAATAAATTGTATTGTTTATACTATACCTGGAGCCTGCGTTTCCCTGTGTCAGTCCACACATTTCTGGTCATACCCGGATCCCTAACAGAACACCAAGGCCCTGATCACAGGCCTGGCCATTCCTTAAATACAACTGCTGTAATCAGCCTCAGGTGATGGCTCATTGCAGGAGTGAGCCTCTGGTTGCTGAGAGCACCCGCTGGCCAGCCCTGGTACTGCAGCCCACAAGGCAGGTGAGTCCCACCACCACTGGCAAGTCCATTCCTGACAGGGACTGTGATAGTATAGCGGGCATTCTGACACTGCCACTGACATGACCAGTGACACTAATAATGTGATCAGTGCTAATAAAAAGCACCAACACTGTACTAATGACACCGGACAGTAGAGGCGAGTAGTAAGGAATTACCCATACACTGTTTTCTATAAGTTTTAGCAGGGACTTTGACTTTTCCACTATCCACATGTCCTGTTAAAATCAAATCTAAATAATCTATAGTAGTCGGATGGCAGTTGTATGTAAATTCCAAAATGAAACTGTTATTCTTTAGATATGCAATAAAATGTTTTATCTCCAAAACTGTAACTATCTAGACCAGTGGTTCTCAACCTGTGGGTCGCGATCCCTTTGGGGGTCGAACGACCTTTTCACAGGAGTCACCTAAGACCATCGGAAAACACATATTTCCGATGTGTAAAGAGCAGCTACTGTGTAGAAAGCAGCTGCTGTGTAGAAAGCAGCTACTCTGTTGAAAGCAGCAGTATTGGAGGTAAAACGACACTCATGAATTATAATTACTGGGTAAATAATTTTATGGTTGGGGGTCACCACAACATGAGGAACTGTATTAAAGGGTCACGGCATTAGGAAGGTTGAGAACCACAGGTCTAGACTAAGATCAGACCGTCGATAAAACGGCTATACCAGGCAAGATGAGGTCTATATATGTTACTGTGAGAAAATAGGAAAGTCTCCTCCCACCATCCCATTTATAGATTTGCTAGTGAGGGGGAGAACTTGGCTCCCATCGATGCCCCTTGACATTGAATGTAATATTTCAAATCAAACATGAAGAAATTTGTGCTTAAGCAAAAATTCCACTGCCATGCATAAAAACTCCCTTAATTGCATATTATATGTACTATAGCATGTCAAGGGATGTTCAATGGCTAATAGAGCTAAAATGGTGTGGCATGCCAGTCTGTCCCTGAAACTTACAGACATAAAATGCTACAAGGGCAGGAACCCTCCCTTCCCTCACTTGAGTTCACTGCACCAGGGGCAGCTGCCCCTCCTGTCATTGTACTGGGGACACAATGGAGAAGGGGGGGGTAGATTTGTGGTAGGAGGGGGGATTTGACAGAGGCATTTAAAAGGCAGTGACTGTGCTTGGCGAGGGGGGGGGTGGGATTTGTGGGGGTTGAGTACATTTTGTCATCTTCGCCCTGAGCTCTGGATGACCTTGTCCCGACACTGTGTGCCAATATCTCAAGTATTCACACAGCCGTCATGAACAATTCCCTTCATTTGTCTTATCTGTGCATTTTGTATGATCGGCAGCACCATCTAGTGACCATTATGTGGTATTTTCCTGAAAAAGCTCAATTGGGAAAATAACACTTTTTGGCCACTAGATGGAGCTGGCACAGAACATTTTTTTCATAACTAGATCTTTTTGTGCTAAAATTTTTAAAACGCTGGTATTTTGCTTTGACTGGCTCCTTGTGCTGCTTCTCCTTCCCTCTCTCTACTATGCAGTAGATTGCAAGGGGCCTATAATGGGTCAAACTCGGGTACTTACACTGCTTGTATTTAAAATAATACATTTAAAGCAGAAATCTGGAAACAGCAAATATCATCTAAATCAGGGGTGGGCAACTGTGGCCCCCCAGCTGTTGGTGAACTACAAGTCCCATCATGCCTCTGCCTTGGGAGTCATGCTTGTAACTGACAGTTTTGCAATGCCTCATGGGACTTGTAGTTCTACAACAGCTGGAGGGCCACAGTTGCCCACCGCTGATCTAAATCCATTCAAATACAGTATGTATGTTCTTCCTTGAATCTTGGTTGCGCTTTGTGTATTTCTTCCAGATCAGTGCAGTAATCCAGCGTGACTTTTCCTTCCTGTAATACAGACCGCTCACTGTTGCTTTCTCTCCTTGTGCAGAGTGTCTGGTCTCATCTCCACCCCCTCCTGTAGCTTTCTGCAGGTAATCTGTAGTGGGTGGACCCTGCTAGGCCCCCCACAGCTCTGCTGTCTGTACAGGCTATGCACAGCGCAGTGATGATGTCACGGCTTCATTTACAAGGTAATATCTGGGGGTAATATCCTGAGGAAGTCCCGTGGACGTGACGCAACGCGTAGATACGGCGTGGTGACGCACTTCCGGTGGAACGCCATCTTGATACACCAGGTTATACACAGTACACCCATACTGAGTGGGTGTGACAAGCTTGCTTTGATCTATTCTAATGTGAGTGCATTACTTGGTGGTTTTATATGTTTTAATACATTAAACAGTGTTGCACTAGGGGCAGGGGCGGACTGACCATTTGGAAACTCGGGCACTGCCCAAGGGCCCGGGGTCAGTAGGGGGCCCCATGAGATGCCCCTGGTACCTTTTTCATAGGCTTTTTTGAGTTTGGGCAAGGACACAGGGGCCCCATGATCCCCTATTGCTCAGGGGCCCCATGAGTTGTCAGCCCGCCCCTGACTATGGAGACCTGTTTTTTGTCCTTTCATGGCTTTAATGTGATACTCATATATTGGCCTGCACTGCGGTTACCCCTGTATGGAAGAGTGACCTGTATTGGAAGGAAGTTACCAGTGAGGGTCAGTGGATTCAGAGTGACCTGGAGAGCTGGTACCTGTAGGATCCAGGGTGATCCAAAAGGCGTGTTGACCCGTTTGGGTCGCAACAAGGAGATGAGGGGGCATGCCTGCTATGTAAGGATATATGCTCACCATCTGCACCAGGACTATAGCACATGTTTTGAGGATAAAGGCACATCTTTGCATCTATTGCAATTTTCTGCATTATTTTGGACACTTTTATAATTGTTTATGTGCGTTTATATTGCCTTTGGGTATTTTTTCACTACTCACTTTATTTGTCATATACAGTTGCAAGAAAAAGTATGTGAACCCCTTGGGATTACGTGGAGTTTTGCATGAATTGGGCATAAAATGTGCTCTGAACGTCATCTAAGTCACAACAATAGAAGAACACAGTCTGCTGAACATAATACTACACAAACATTAGATGTTGCCATGGTTTAATTGCACATAACATGTAAACATTCACAGTGCAGGGAGGAAAAAGTATGTGAACCTTTGGACTTAATAATAACTGGTTGACCCTCCTTTGGCAGCAATAACCTCAACCAACCAAACGTTTCCTGTAGTTGCAGATCAGACCTGCACAACGATCTGGAGTCATTTTGGACCACTCCTCCTCTTCACAAAAACTGTTTCAGTGTAGCATTATTCTTGGGATGTCTGGTGTGAATCGCTCTTTTATGCCCAATTCATGCAAAACTCCACATAATCCCAAGGGGTTTTACATACTTTTTCTTGCAACTGAATCCTTTGTGGCCATTAGGTGTTATTAGTCATCATCCATTATTTATAAAAATAAAAATCAACGTTTTTGTGTTTTTGAGTTCAGCTTTAATGACTTTTTAATGATAACAAAGTAACATTCATTTTTTTCCCGGAGTTCGTCATCGTCACGCAGACAGAGGGTGGCTTAGAAGAAGATAAAGGAACAAGACTGATATAATGCCATGGGGTTAAGGGAGTGAAATGAATCATGGTGTTGTCACCCGTCATATGTCACAATGTCATATTATCTGCTTAATATCAATGTGAAGGGTCACAATCATAGTTAACCCCTCGTCTACAGGGCACTTTATACCCCCTTCCTGTCCAGGCCAATTTTCAGCTTTCAGCACTGTCACACTTTGAGTAACAATTGTGCGGTCATGCAACACTGTACCCATATGAAATTTTAATCATTTTTTTTCACACACAAATAGAGCTTTAATTTTGTTTTTTTTAATCGATTCTAAACAGGTAATTTCTCCTTCATTGATGTGCGTTGATGAGGCTGCACTGATAGGCAGCACTGATTGACACTGATAGGAGGCACTGATGAGCTGGCACTGAGGATGCTGCACCAATGGGTGGCACTGCTGAGCACTGATGGGTGGCAATGCTATGCACAGGTGGGTGGCAATGCTATGCACAGGTGGTGTGGCACTGATGGGCACAGGTGGGTGGCACTGATAGGTGGCAATGCTGCGCACAGGTGGGTGGCAATGCTGCGCACAGGTGGGTGGCACTGATGGGTGGCACTGCATGGCACAGGTTGATGGCACTGCAGGGCACAGGTGGGTGGCACTGCAGGGCACAGGTGGGTGGCACTGCTGGGCACAGGTGGGTGGCACTGATGGGTGGCACTGCATGGCACAGGTGGGTAGCACTAATTGGCACAGGTGGGTGGCACTGATGGGTGGCACTGCAGGGCACAGGTGGGCGACACTGCTGGGCACTGATCATCACTACCCTGATGATCACTGATGATCACTTTTCTGACAATTGCTGGTTATCAGCAGTACAGCGATCACCGGCTGCGCCGGGTGCGCACCACTGGGAACGCACAGGGGAGCGTGTTCTGGAATGCCAGTCCCTCTGCTTTCCTAATAAAAGCTGACTACACTAGGCATGAGAGCACAGCATGGTCAGTTTTCTGGCTGTGCTGTGAACTCAGCCGGCTCTATTCCAATGATTATACTTTTGCTGACCTCCTGCACAGCCATTCACTGGAAAGACCAGTGTACTGTTGGTTCTCCTCCCCCAGCTCTCTGAGATCTTTACACATCTGAGAACAAAATGTTTTGCCTTTCATTTCTAGGCTAAGGCTAGGTTCACACCTATACAGTTTGCGTGTGATCCGTTTCTGCAGTGCTTTGTGCGGTGCGCTTTGCGTATTTGCACATGCATTTTTTATTGTGTTTTTGATGCATTTTTTCTTTTCTCAACTTATTGCTGGGCAAAATAAAAAGCAAAACGCATAAAAAACGCACTACATGCTTTTCTGCAGCGACTCCATTGAAGTCTATAGAACCAAAAATGCTACTTTTTGTGTTCAAAAAGTTCTCTGACACTTTCCATAAAACGCACCGGGTAAAAAACGCAGAGATGTGTAACCTGTCCCATAGGAAATCATGTTAAATGGACTGTACTGCGTTTCTGCAAACCACTGCAGAAAACGCATAGGTGTGAACCTAGGGTAGGGCTAGGTTCACACCTATGCAGTTTGCATGTGATCCGTTTCTGCAATGCTTTGTGCGGTGCGCTTTGCGTATTTGCACATGCATTTTTTAACGTGTTTTTGATACGTTTTGCGTTTTTTTATTTCTTTTTTTCAACTGGGCAGAATAAAAAGCAAAATGCATCAAAAACACACTACATGCTTTTCTGCAGCATTTCCATTGAAGTCTATAGAACCAAAAATGCTACTTTTTGCGTTCAAAAAAGTCTCTAAACACTTTCCATAAAACGCACTGGGTGAAAACGCAGAGATGTGAACGTGTCCCATAGGAAACCATGTTAAATGGACTGTACTGCTTTCTGCAAACCACTGTGGAAAACGCTTAGGTGTGAACCTGGGGTAAGGCTAGGTTCACACCTATGCAGTTTGTGTGTGATCCGTTTCTGCAGTGCTTTTTGCACTGCGTTTTGCATATTTGCACATAAATTTTTTTTACGTGTTTTGCGGGTGAGGGTTTTTTTTTCTTTTTTCAACTTGTTGCTAGGGCAGAATAAAAAGCAAAATGCATCAAAAACACACTACTTGCTGTTCTTCAGTGTCTCCATTGAAGTCTATAGAACCAAAAATACTACTTTTTGCGTTCAAAAAAGTCCCTGACACTTTCCATAAAACGCACCGGGTGAAAACGCAGAGATGTGAACGTGTCCCATAGGAAATCATGTTGAATGGATTGTACTGCGTTTCTGCAAACCACTGAGGAAAACGCATAGGTGTGAACCTAGGGTAAAGTTAGGTTCACACCTATAGTTTGTGTGTGATCTGTTTCTGTGGTGCTTTTTTTGCATATTTGCAGATTAATTTTTTTACGTGTTTTGCGTTTTTTTCTTTTTTTCAACTTATTGCTGGGCAAAATAAAAAGCAAAACGCATCAAAAATGCACTACATGCTTTTCTGCAGCCTCTCCATTGAAGTCTATAGAACCAAAAATGCAACTTTTTGCGTTCAAAAAGTTCTCTGCCCCTTCCCTTAAAATGCGCCGGGTAAAAACGCAGAGATGTGAACCTGTACCATTGGAAATCATGTTAAATGGATTGTACTGCGTTTCTGCAAACCACTGCGGAAAACACATAGGTGTGAACCTAGGGTAAGGCTAGGTTCACACCTATGCAGTTTGCGTGTGATCCTGTTGTGCGGTGCGCTTTGCGTATTTGTATATACATTTTTTAAGCGTTTTGCGTTTTTTTCCAACTTGTTGCTGGGCAGAATAAAAAGCAAAATGCATCAAAAATGCACTACATGCTTTTCTGCAGCCTCTCCATTGAAGTCTATACAACCAAAAACACAATGTGTTGCATCTTAACCACTTCCAGTCCGGACACTTTCACCCCCTTCCTGTCCAGGCCAATTTTCAGCTATCAGCTCTATCACACTTTGAATGACAATTGTGCGGTCATGCAACACTGTACCCATATTTTTTTTTAGCATTTTTTTGAGACAGATAAAGCTTTATTTTGGTGGTATTTATTCACCGCTGGGATTTTTATTTTTTTTGCTATCTAAATGAAAATGTCCAAAAATGTTTTTAAAAAGTGTTTTTTTTTTTTTTAAATGAAATTTTGCAAATGTTAAATCTAAATTATGATTCGGCATTTATATTGATGGCAAGCTTGCAAAATATTTGGTTTTTATGATTAGTCATAATTAATATTAATATGTGTAAGTGGTCTTTGACAAATGGTAGTATTTACTATTCTTCAATTATAGCTGAGATCAAAAGATATACCAGTTGAAGGTTGAGTATGCTATATTTAGGCATAAAAGTATTTGGTAGTTATGTCAAGGTTATTAGAAGGGACTTACTATTACAGTACGTATTTTAATGGTATCTGTGTATATTTAGTATACGTTTCTAAACATTGATACATTTACGTCATTAGCTTATAATATTATGTACATCAGCATACATATGTTCTTGTCCATCAAACATCATATGTATAGCATCCTTTCCTTATATGAAATGGCTTTGCTAAGCAGTAATACTTTCCATAGAAGGTATTAAGATCACTAACTATGACGTACATTTGCCTCATAAAAGACCATCGGATAACGGACAGAGAGAGACTCACACACACACACACACTTACGCTAACATGACACTCTTGCATACACACACATCTGAGAAGCTGCAACAGGTGCTGCAAGACAAGACAGTCATTAACGTCACTTCAGTCTACTTCCGTCTTCTTTCTCGGACTCAGAGAACGGACAAGGACATGAGACGCACATGGCAAGGACAGCCATGACAGATAATGGTGACTTTGTTTTAAACGTTTGCTTGTCATT